GAGGTAACTCTGGAACCACGAGGCATTCCAGGAGAACCGACTTGCTCTCCACCTCGATTGGCAACAAAACCGAACCTAACACCGAGATATGACCTCCATCCGCGAGAGTCACTCTCAAAAAATTCGAAACAGAATTCAGCCTAATACCAAAGGAACTCAATTTCTGCCAACCTAATCGACATATTACTATTCTGGTCGCACCAGAATCCAACAAAGCCCTAAAACCATAACCATGGATCTTAACATCCAAATAAGGGCGCTCGTCGTGACCGCCCGTCACCTGGGTAAACGATAATCTAACCTCTTCAAACTCGACACCTTCACTTGCCAGCTGGGAGCTAGCAGGTTCCCAGGGGTCTATCTCCCGTGTCCCGATCTGTTATTCTACCTGACAACCCTATCGCTCGATCGAGAACTCCCTATTCTTTCATCATCCTTACTATCTCTAACGGGCCCAGGGCGGGAGGGGTTGTGGTTTCGCCCACCACCGGTAGCCGTACTTCGTTGGGTATCCTTGGAGCGACTCGGCTTCGCTGCACACGCCAGGCAGTCCCGCTTCATTACCCAAAGCTTAACGCAACCTAAACACTTTATCGTCTTCTACATTTGAAACATCGGGTATTCGATCCGGGCGTAAAGCTATCAACAATGTCCGGCTCTGCTACCGCCGCGACCTCTACACCAGCCGAGACATAAGCCAAGTCAGGCTCTAATAAACCCTTTGCCGTATGACTCGGAAGAGGGACAAACATATCCACTGAAGACCTCACTGCCTCTAGTTGCCTACCGAAAGCAACTAGTTCCGAAATAGACCCTATCGTAACCAGTCCTAACGGTCTGGTAGAATGCTAGGAGATTCGCCCTAACATCCTCTTTTCCGATAGACTCTTCTGCAGCCTGCCAAACATTATCTTCATCGCTGCTACATAAACGCCAATGGACTCGTTTGCTCCCTGAGTCCTTCTCCTAATCTCATCTAGTAAGAGATCGTCGTAGCTGAGGTGCAAAAACTCCAACTTCAACTCTCGTACTAGCTCGTCCCAACTACCTAATGTCTTCCTGACTGACCTAAACCATAGCAGAGCTTTCCCTACAAACAGGTCTACCGCGCCGCGGAAAAGTTGAGCTTGGGTCACCCTGCGTGCCTCGCTCAACTCCTCAACCCGTTCTAAAAACGCGAAAAGCGACATTCCCGCTTTGCCCTATCACGAAAACAACAAAAGAGCCTAACCACACGGAGCAAAAAAAATTAATAAAATAAAAAATAATTTTTGTCTACTCAGACAACACAAAACTAATGAAATAATTTTATTTAAATAAAATAAAAAAAATATTTAATTAAAAAAATTATAAAATATAAACAAAAAAGTCTTTAATTAACAAAAATAGGTGAAAACTAAAAACTAATTTGAAACAACCACTACTAGGCACTTTCGGTATAGTCTCAACACAGTTGACAAACAATTTTTCTACCGGTATAATGCTACATGCAATATACCGCAACAGACCAAAAAAAAAAAAGAGAAGAAAAATTGCAAAACGTAACGGATTCACCAAATTCCTTCTCGGTATGTCAGGCTGTTGATTTTCGGATGTGGTCCTGGGTTCGTCCCCCAACGAAACTCTTTCTTTGAATATTCCTACAAATAAAACAAAGCAAAATATAAAAAAACTGCCAACAACAACCAACTATACGAAAGACACAGAATTTAACAAAACACTCCTCTTTTGCTAAATATATTAATTTTTAAATATTGGGCTCCACGTTGGGCGCCAATTTGTCACCTCCACTTTTTTATATACAATATGTATGTGCGCATGTACATATTTATACCTACAGTGGCTGTTTGTCAAGCGCCTACCAACAACCACACACGTCAAAACAAACTACCGCTCAAAAAGGAGATGACAAAAACTAACAAAACGACCGGCCAGCTTAGTGAAGACGGCGTGGGTCGCTGGCTACATACACTAACAAAATCCAATGGGGAGAAAAACAACACCAAGTGAAGGGGTTGTGGTTTCGCCCACCACCGGTAGCCGTACTTCGTTGGGTACCCTTGGAGCCACTCGGCTTCGCTGCACACGCTGGGCAGTCCCGCTTCTTTACCCCAAGCTTACCGCAAGCTAAACACTTTATCCCCTTCTTACACTCTGAAGATATACGCCCGAATCTCCTACAATTGAAACATCGGGTATTCGATCCGGGCGTAAAACTATCAACGAGGTCCGGCTCTGCTACCGCCGCGACCTATACACCAGCCGAGACATATGCCAAGTCAGGCTCTAATAAACCCTTGGCCGTATGACTCGGAAGAGGGACAAACATATCCACTGAAGACTTCACTGCCTCTAGTGCCTACCGAAAGCAATTAGTTCCGAAATCGACCCTATCATAACCAGTCCCAACTGGGTCTGGTAGAATGCCAGGAAACTCGCCCTAATCAATCCTAACATCCTCTTTTCCGATAGACTCTTCTGCAGCCTGCCAAACATTATCTTCATCGCTGCTACATAAACGCCAATGGACTCGTTTGCTCCCTGAGTCCTTCTCCTAATCTCATCTAGTAAGAGATCGTCGTAGCTGAGGTGCAAAAACTCCAACTTCAACTCTCGTACTAGCTCGTCCCAACTACCTAATGTCTTCGTGACTGACCTTAACCATAGCAGAGCTTGCAATACAAACAGATCTACCGCGCCGCGGAAAAGTTGTGCTTGGGTCAAACCGCGTGCCTCGCTCAACTCCTCAACCCGTTCTAAAATCGCGAAAAGCGACATTCCCGCTTTGCCCTATACTGGCTCAACAAAAAGACCCTATCCCGAAAACAACAAAAGAGCCTAACCACAATTTAAATAAAATGAAAAAAAAATTGAATTAAAAAAATTAAAAAATTTAAACAAAAAAGTCTTTAATTAACAAAAATTGGTGAATACCACAAACTAATTTGAAACAACCACTATTTGTCACTTTCGGTATAGTCTCCACACAGTTGACCAACAATTTTTCTACCGGTACAATGCTTCTATGCAATATACCGCAACAACAAAAAAAAACAGAAAAAAAATTGCAAAACAGAACGGACTCACCAAATTCCTTCTCGGTATGTCAGGCTGTTGATTATCGGATGTGGTCCTGGGTTCGTCCCCCAACGAAACTCTTTCTTTGAATATTCCTACTAATAAAACAAAGAAAAATATAAAAAACTGCCAATAACAACAAACTATTCGAAAGATACAGAATGTTCCAAAACGCTCCTCATTTGCTAAATATATTAATTTATAAATATTGGGCTCCACGTTGGGCGCCAATTTTATACCTCCACTTTTTTATGTACAATATGTATGTGCGCATGTTCATATTTATACCTACAGTGGCTGTTTGTCAAGCGCCTACCAACAACCACACACGTCAAAACAAACTACCGCTCAAAAAGGAGATGACAAAAACTAACAAAACGACCGGCCAGTTTAATGTAGACGGTGTGGGTCGCTACATACACTAACAAAATCCAATGGGGAGAAAAACAACACCAAGTGAATTTTGCTAACGCGGTAAACAAATCGCAGGACAACAAGAATTCAACAGCATATTCGAGCTACTTAAAACAATAAATCAAAATATGTTTTTGGGTGCACCCGAGGTGTGGTCCAACCGAACTGGCTACGAACCCACTCGCACTACTCCCGTGCTGCCGGGAGTGACTTTAACGCGCCTGTATGACTAGGCTCTGGGTGCGGGATGCTAGAGGGATGGGTAACGTAACGAGGGGAGGGACACTGTCGGCACGACAAAACGTACGCAAACAATAAATAAACAAAGTGATAGTTCGATGCTCCTCCGGTGGTGCCGCCGGTTCCGCCTCAAACAAACCTCGACTGGCTTAAAACTTTCACTACTTGCCTCGACTGGCAAACTACTTTTCTCCGTTTATAAAAAAATAATACCACTAAATTTTTTTTTAAGCAAATCGCACACCTGCGTTAAAAGATGTTCGCACTTTTATAGATTGCCAGAATCTGACCTGGGACGCATTTACGAGCCAGGCCGCAAGCTACGCGTCGGCCTTCAAAATTCTCCTGCGAGTGTGTATTGGTGCCCAATCATTTGGCGCCGCCCCCAATACCCAAAGGGACCGGGTTGTATAGCGCACGCCACCATGGCACACCAAGTACTATACCATTGGGTAGGCACACACCGAATGCAACCGTGCCATCAGTCCATGACTTCAAATGATGCAACTATTAGCCGACAGATGTCCCTGCCAACGTTTCCAGTGAAAGATAGCTTAGGCAAAACAAACTAAGTGAACAATCAAACACAAAAGAAGTTTTTGTTGCGGCCAGTACGCGACAATATATAAATATTCACCCCTATTCTGCATTTCGACTCGATCCGAAACTTTCTCTGCTCGCAGAGTTGGGATAGGCCAGAATTCCTCCTGAATTCTGGAGACGGGGATCGTAAGATAGGGCCGAATCTTCAGGCAATCCTCAAGCTGAAAAAGAAATAAAACCTTCTCCAACAAATAAAGAAAAAGAAGGAAAACTTTTAGTTTATGTTACACGCAGATTTATTTAAATAAAAGGGCAGCTGTACATATGAAGAGGGGTTTTTTTTAAACACTTATTGTTACCTGATGTTGCTGAGGTTTCGCAAAAAAAGAGAAGTTTTAAACGGCAACATCTGCCTTTTATGCCTTCCACAGAAGGTGGAAGGTGTAACGGAACGTTGATTAACAGGACCCTTCCAAATAGGGATGAGTCACGTATTGTACTAGCAGCAGCGACATCTCCTGTGGTAGATTCTGGCTTTGGTGCAGGGTTGCATACTCAAACACTATTTATTCTGCATTTCGAACGTAGTTACGTTTTTGAACGTTGCAATTCAATTGGCGGAAATAAATCGATTTTGTATTTTCGTGTATTTAAATCATACAATTTAGTTTTTTTCGAAGATCGAAGATAAGCAAAACCGATATTCGAATCAGCTGTCATCACACTTGTGCAAAAAAAATCAGCAATTCATTTTAATTTTTGTACTGGTATTAACACATTAATAAATTAATTAATTAACGCAAATATCTCTTTAGCGCGACCTACAGTCTCTGAAGTTATAATAGAAATGCTAAAGGCTTTTGAACGTTTGAATGGTACATGCCGCATAATTTTAGGAACGAACGACAGTAGAAAACGAAGAGCTTGTGGCCGTGTGCACCGTGTTTCAGGCATTTCTGGTTGTAAAATCCATTGGTCATCACTTAATTTTTTATTTAATTTCCGCTTGCAAAGAAACTTGCCTTTCGGTTTAATTCTGACATTTAAACCAATAATCGGATGTGTAACCCTTTCAACAGAATTTTGTCGGTTTCAATTCTAATTTTAACAATAATGTGTTTCTGTAGCACCCCTGAATAATTTCAACAAACCTGGACATTACACTGGATTGCAACGAAAATCTTCTTTAAACAAAAATATGATCTCAATGAAGTTTTTAATATCCTTAATTTATATCTGTTTTTTTTTGTTATCACGTATATATTGCTTAAAACATTTTAATTTAATAGCCTAAAATAATCAGTCTTATGTCGAATATATTGTATACATCTTCGATGACGATCGTCAATGGCCATAAGAGCGCATCGTCTCGTCTTTTCGCACCTTCGGTAAGCTTCGTGAGTTTTGGAGTCGGCACTGCCAGCGCTTCAAACGGAGCTGGCAGAGGGAAAAATACCTTTGGCACAAGACAGCACCGAGTGTAAAGCGCTATTGAGTTTAGGAGCTTTGTTGCCGTCGGTACCAAGCAAAGCGAATCTTATGTTTTGCGGTAACCAAGACACTGTTGGAGTGTTTCGAGTGGCTTGTTTTGTCTTAATAGAAATTGATGCATTTGGTATTGTATACGTATTGTATAGTTTTTTCAATTGCGTTATATAAAACATTTATACCATTGTATTTTTCAGAGACGACTGTAAATAAACCCGCCGGATCAAAGGCTGTCAAATGCCTATTTTTTTTATTCGAGCAAACAACGCCAACAGAAACAACGGTAAAAGAAAGCAACATGCAAGCAGAAGACTCTCAGCAGTACTCAGCTAGCGCTAAACAGACGACGAAGTCGACAGAGAAACAAGAGAGAAAAGGTAACAACAAGCAAACACCCAGCAGGAAATCGCCCACCATTGCAAATGAAAAGGAACAGGCAAGCGGCAAGGCCAATGACATAAAAAAGAATACAATAATGCAGACAGGACTAGGTCGATATATAAATATCAAGAGGAAATCAAGTCCTATTAAGAACACCAACAACAAAAAAGTGCAAATGAGTGGAACTAATGTAAAAAGCCAAGAGCCCTCCAGTAGCAACCGATTTGCTTTATTAAGTGAGGATAGCGTAAGCGGTACTACATACTCGGCACTAATAACTTTCACGTTGTGCCTGTAAAAAAAAGTACCATCGATGAAACAAAAATTCAAATCTACAGTGAAAAAGGCTTCATATAGTAAGTTTTCTATTGTCGAGTAATAAGAATTATTACTCATATCAACTGAAGAGCTCGAAAGGCCTAACAGTTGTAATTAAAGGTATCGAATCCTCAGTCAAGCCAGATGAAATAAAAGAGGCTCTTGAAGAAAATGGTTTTAGAATCAAATTGGTTATAAATATACTTAATAGGAATAAAGTACCTCAGCCAATGTTTAAGGTAAAACTAGAACCCAATTCAAGTCAAACAAAGAAAAACGAAACCCATCCCACATACAGTTTAAAATATTTTCTACATCGTAGGGTAACAGTAGAAGAGCCACACAAAAGAAACGGCCCAGTGTAATGCACTAACTGCTAATAATTCGGCCATACTAAATCCTACTGCACACTGCGCAGTGTTTGCGTAGCATGTGGGGACCTACATCCCACGTCTGAATGCACGTCAAAAAAAAGATGATGCTTCCTTGAAAAAATGTAGTAATTGAGGAGGTAATCACACTGCCAACTATAGGAACTGCCCTGTATATAAAGATCTAAAAGTTAGGTTGGCAAATAATATCCAGACTCGTCGAATTCAAATGGTAAATACTCCTCAAATCCAATTTGTAGAAAAAGCTACGGATAAAACTGCTCCAAACGTACAAAATAAGAATCAAAATAAATTATCTTATGCGAATGTACTGAAGAATAATTCAGATAATGTGGAATACAGAACCAATCTAATGGAGGTATAGGATTGATGATTTTAAACCTTACGCAGTGCATGACACAGTTCATGTCAACTATGCAAAGCATGATCGAAGACTTGATTAAAGTCCAGAATAACATGCTACAAATCTTCATGCAAAAAAATGAGCGCGCTAAACATTTGTTTATGGAATTCAAACCTTGTGAACCAACATAAATTAGAATTGACACGATTTTTAACAGAGTATGCTATAGATGTAATGCTATTGTCTGAAACGCACTTGACGGATACAATACAATTTTAATACATCTGGGTTCATATTCTACCCCACTAACCATCCTGATGATAAAGCGCACGGCGGCACTGGAATGCTTCTAAGAAACCGCCTTAAACACTGCGTCTTACATCCCTACGCCACCGATTATCTACAAGCTACCTCTATAACCTTGAACAATTATGGCAAAGAGCTAAATCTCTCAGTCATTTATTGCCCTCCAAAATTTAAGATCACAGAAAATCAATTTAAGGAATTTTTTGATAATCTTGGTGATAGATTTATAGCAGGAGGAGACTACAATGCAAAACATGTATACTGGGGATCCCGTCTAATAAACCCCAAAGGCCGTCAGCTATACAATACCATTATAAAAAACGTAACATTTTGGACTGTGCTTCCCCAGGTCAACCAACATACTGGCCTACCGATCGGAAGAAATTACCTGACTTAATAGACTTTGCTGTCTCAAGAAAAATCGACAGGCAACTTGTATCAGCTGTGACAGTTGCTGAGTTGTCTTCAGGTCACTCACCAGTTCTAATAAAAATTTACGAGCGCCTGAAAATAGTCGCACAAGAATCATGACTAACAAACGGAGAAACCAACTGGCTAAAATACAAAAAATATACTAGTAGTCATATTGACATCAACCCAATATTGAATTGTGAAAACGATATTGATGACTACATTAATGAGCTAAATAATGTCCCTGTTTCTGAGGCAACCATAGCAACTCCAAAAAGTAAAAAGCTTACTACGTGCCCAAAAGTTTAAACAAATACAGAAAAAGAAGAACTAGTCAAAAATAAGCGCCGTTTGCAGGTGGCAATTAAAATATATCAAGCCTAGAAGTGGTAAACGCGATACAGAAACTGATTCCAAAGAAATCTCCAGGCCACGACCTTATTACATCTAAAATGCCAATACAGCTACCAAGAGTTGCACAAGCATTGCTCTCTGAACTCTTTAATGTCATTCTTAAATTAAATTGCTTTCCAAACACGTGGAAAAAGTCGCAGATATTAATGATAGCCAAACCAGGCAAAGACCACACACAGGTGGTCTTACAAACCAATAAGCCTACTACCCAGTCTTTCCAAATTGTTTGAAAAAATTCTGCTATCAAAAATATCTCCTTTTCTCCACCGTAACAATGTGATACCAGATCACCAATTCGGCTTTCGTGAAAAGCATAGTACTATTGAACAAGTTAACCGAATAACTAATGAAATCAGAAAGGCATTCGAGCTCAAGGAGTACTATTGTGTGTGTGTTTAAATTGGCTTTTAAATAAAAACTCCGGTCTAAAACTAGACTACAATGTCCTTATTTATAACGCAGCATTAAAACCAATTTGGATGTATGGTATTCAACTGTTGTGGGGTACGACCTGTGCAACTAATATGGATAAAATACAGAGGTTCTAGTCTAAAATTTTAAGAGCACTAAAGGGCGCACCATGGTACGTTCGTAACGTTAACATTCATCAAGACCTTGGTATTTTACTGGTTAAGCCTGAAATTGAAAGAAGCAGGAGGAAGTATTTCACAAAGCTAAGAAATCATCCAAATCCGCTAGCTAATGCTTTATTCGAGAAATTCCCGCCTGCAACGAAGAGATGTTCCCGCCTTCTAAGGAGAGCGCCGTAGTTTGAAAAGGGCTCAGAGTTAAATAACTCGAGCTATCATGTTTGCAATTTAGGCTTATATTATAGTAGATCCAGGAAATAAATGAATTCTGAATAAAAAAAAAATTGTAAATAAAATAAAAAAAATCTTAGTGTAGAAATTATTTCGAATTTTTTTTTTCGCTGAGAATATAAGCTCAATTCGTTAAGAATTTTAGTTTTTGGCGACGATGGAAAAAATTGCAAACTATGAAGGGGTCGAAATATTATTATTATTATTATTATTATTATTATTATTATTATTATTATTATTATTATTATTATTATTATTATTATTATTATTATTATTAT